GAGAGCTACACCCCCACCCCTTTTATCTACACGATCCCTCCTGTACAGGGTATAGCCATCTATCCCCGTGGTCCAGTCATGGGTGGAGTCCCACCAGGTCTCCGTTAGCCCTATGACATCATAATTATTTGCACTGAGCAGGAGGATGAGCTCCTCCTGCTTATTCCCTTTGTATGGTGTTGAGTGGTTTCCATTTAAACTATTCACATGTACCATTGTGTTGCATTTACACTCTTGTAATAGACTGGGGTGAGGGAGAATATAGGGCAGAGTAGCACCATAGAGGCTAACCAAGAGAGAGATGAGCTTCTGTAGGCAAAAAAAAATACTTCATCAGATGGGGTGATGGAAAATGTAAATACGAATGTGAATGGTTTCTTAAGGCAGGGGTTTTCAACCTTTTTTGGTTGGTATACTAACAGCCACCAGTAGAGAGGCAGGGAGTCCCGGGCGGACAGTCAACGAGTGGGAGGGGTGGAGGGGGGGGGAAGAAGGAGGTCCCCTGTGCAGTGTGCAGCAGCAAAGCTGGACATGCTGGTGGCACATGGCACTGAAACAGAAGTGCTGGTGGTGCATAGTGCTGCCCCTCCTTCTCCTCGCTGCTGCCAAGTATCCCTACGGGTACACGTAGCCCCAGCTGACAACCCCTGTCTTAAGGTTTTACACCTCTACACAAGCTAAAGCAAGCTTTCCTATTCCACGTGCTTAAATAACCTAGTATATCTAGGATGAAGTGCTTAAAAGCTGAATGATCCTGCCAAACACAGGCTTGTGCTTTGAGTTTTGCTCACTGGTGATTACTAGGAAATTAGTATTAGTATTTAATATTCTAGTAAAGTGTACTTTAACTCTCATTTCTTGTCTATGTACTGTACTGAATTGGGGGCCCAGCTTTCCCTGAACATTGCATGCTACCACACATGAATCTGACCCACAAGGCCCTAAATAGCCAGAAGCCTGCACACCTAAGGGGCTGCCATTTCCCTTGTGCCTCACTGTGATCCTTTGGGTCAGTCAAGAGTACCATCAATGCACTAAGTCCGCCTGACAAAAATGTGTTCATCTGCAGTAGCTGCATCTCAGTGCTGGAACTCCCTGCTTTTTAAGGCTCACCAGAGACCAACCCTAGACATCTTTCAGAAGTGTTAGAAGACCTTCCATATTGGGCAGGCATTTAACAAATAAAGCTAAGATTGGATTCTTTTTCTTGTGGGGAGGGTGGGGGAGGGAAAGGGGCACAGAAAAAGAGGTCTGCTTTATGTTGATACTCCACAGTTTTTGTCAGGTTTGACCTAGAAACCACTACACATAGCCCAAGCAAAAGTCTCTGTTATGTAACTAATGCCCATCTGCAATGATAAGGAGAAGACAGTCTTAGATAAAGGAGGCTTGAAAACAAAAGCAGAATCAGAGGACTAGGGCAAAGAGCTGATTTAAATATTAAGATTCACACCCCTAGGTGGGGAGAAAGTATGCTAATGAAACATACATGTATGGAAATGAGATACATAGCTAAAACACAGGTATAGAGACATGCTCAGTAAAGAACTCCTTGCGTCACTCCCTTCTAACCAATTAGCAAACAAGAATGCTTATGAAGGTCCAATACTCCTGTATAAAAGATGCTTAAAATTAAGAATCTGTGTGCTTGTTACGTGAAATTATTCCGCTTGCACCTTGTATTGCTAGCAATAAATCTTTATACTTTCACCCCTGGTATCTTTATTGGCTTTTGCATACCGGGCACGATCCCAGACTTGAGCTGGGGCTCAACATTTTGTCCTCTTGCTCGTTCTGTTGTATGTTATTCTGTTCTTTTATTGAGAGCTACATCAAGCCTTTGTTGGGAAGGGTGGCATATCAATCCAAAAAAAAAGAATTGTATGTTTGGGTGAGTACAACTAGAGGCGCACACAGAAGATAACAATGAGTGGCAAGTTACAGGGTCCCCATCTCCAGGACTCATAATGCACCACTGAGGCAGGAATTTTACCATTGACTTCTATGGCCTTACCCTGAAGGACAAAGAAACCATGGCTTTCAATCACATTCATTCAAGTTAGCGTAACACAACAGCAACATATTTAAGACTGCATTTGTACAAAGACTTAAAAGGCCTTTTATTTTTTATTTTTTTAAGGAAATTTTTTTGCGTCCCAAGTCAAATCAATTTCAAATACGTGAGCTATTCAAGAACCACATGACCCTGGTACTGGCAAGCAACTTCCACCCCTGCCTGGGGCTTCACACGCTTCCAAATCCTTTAGCGGACATCCTACACGCAGGTGCAAGCCTTGGGGCTCAGATGCCCCTGGGTTTTACTTGGCCTCAGCCATACCGCCACGGGAGCAAGCTAGGGAGGAGTCTCCCATTGCCATAAAGTCAGCGCATGGCCAAGATCTTCCCACTGGAAGGGAAAGTGAGAGGCTAACTTCAGACACGGTCCTTTCCCTGGCAAGGAAGTGGGTTTTCCCCTGCAACTAGGAAAACCACCTTAGTGGTCATGGTGTTTCCCCTTAAAGGCCTTTCCACTCAACCTTATCCAAACGCTATAAAGCTGACAGCACCGAGGCGTGCACCAAGAGGGGCCAAAGGGAGCTGAAACACTGCCCCATTATGGACCTCAGCGATGCTGGCGTGGCTCCAGCTTCAGGCACCGTCCCTCCAACGCCAGCCTAGGCAGACAGAGCGGGTGGGACATGATCCCTGAGAAGGAAAACTGGCCTGGAAGGAGACGGGTGCAACTGCGCCCTGCCAGGCCAAGGAGCCACGGCCTCCAACAACCTACTGCTGCCTCCAGGGTCCCAGGGAGGAGTTGATTTAAGCTGGGAAACAAAATTAAAGTCCAGGCAGGATACAGATGGAGCCGGGGGGGGGATGTTTTCCCAAATGATTCACTCTGTTGACATTATTAGCAGCCGCCGGGGTCGGGGAAACACCCCTGGGAGGCGGCTCCCCGCTGCGCTGCGCTGCCCCCCACCTCCTCCTCCTCCTCGGCGGCCCGGCGT